TCGACTATTCGAGCAATCATAATAACTCGGGTTCTGGACAGAAATAGCGCCTTCGTAGTTGCCAGTTGATCAGGTATGTAAAATAGCTTTAGGAAACGTAGTTGTGAAGATACCGGGTACAGTGTCTAAAGTGCTGGGCTTTACACTGGCTGGAAATCACCCAAGATGGAAAAGCAGAAACTTCCAAAGAGGTAAAAATGCCTACACGACATAAAGGAAGCGTCGTCGAAAAATTGGTATCCTGGCAATGATTTCACTGCGACAGGAGCGCGACGATCACATAAATTGGAAGTTTTTGTGTTTTGAACGAAGGCGGTCTCGCCATGTTCAAAACTCAAGGGTGGGCACTCATCCACAAGGCTAGGGCTTAGGCTAAAGATGCAAGATAGCTGTTTTCAGTTGCTCCTGCTTCCTCTATTGAGAGCCTCGGTGGTGTGCGTGATCTCGGCCCCTCAATCGCAGCTGGTCGAGATCAGTACCGTATCTGTTACTGTTCCTACATCACTGAGTGAGAGGGGGGCAGATAATAAGAGATTGCCCCAGGGGGAAAGGAGGGCAGTAGGTGGGCCCTTGTCATCTTCATCTCTCCCAATGATTGTCACGGAACACCAAAGCAGTGCGCTGTACGGTACAGTGTCTTGTAAAAAGGTCGGTGGACATTGCCTGGGAGGGCTTGCGCCCAAATAGGCTGGTCATAGCCGCCCATCGATAAGAGCACCTGGGTGTGCAAGAGAGGCCTTGGCTCCAGGACTTTCCAGGTGAACTAAAGTGGGAGAAGGGGTTGATTATTTACATGAAGGGTTCCTAATTGGACTTAGCACTTCATGCGAAAGTTCTCGGCTTTCATGAGCTGGTTTTTCCATGGTTTGAGCTTCATTCAGAGATTTTTTCGTAAAGAAGAGCAGACTGAAGATAACAGTCAACGACAATTTTTTTGAAAAAGGCTGATTTCGTAAAATTTCTTAGAAATAAAGAAAAATGAGGTTCCTAGCAAATTCATTCATTTCGCTAAGATTTTTCCGACGCTGTTACTGTCATCCGGTATTTTTCCGTGCCCATTACTGGTATGGCTAACTGATGGTAGATTTGATAGCTTGATTATGCTGCAGTTCCGATCACTATTGCCATTTAGCCCTACAATGACTTGTGCAGGTGATGTAGTGCCATGCATGGCTGTGCGACGCGCATGGTCCGCGGATTAATTCCCAGTTCGATGAACATCCAATCAGCCTACCATCCATTACCCCGGAATCGGTTGAATTGTACCAGACCCGTCTGAGAGGATAAAAGCGCTGGTTCGGTAATCAGTTGCTCACCTCAAGTTCATGGTATAGGCGAAATACACATTCAAAACGCCTGCGAAGTTGAATGCAGGGCAGCACCCACAAAGGAATGGATGAGCTCGAAAAGGCTTTGAGACAGTAACTTGTGAGGACCAGCCAATATACAGCCAGGGTTCGAACTTTCCTAGAGGTTGAATAAGCAATCAGGACGGGACGAGGACTGTACTGGCTCATCCGAAGCTTGCCCTAAACTTGATTCTCGCACAATTCTAGCTAGAGTGGGGCCATTTTCTCCTTTTCCAACTTCGTTGTTTTAGCAACTGTATAACTCACCTCGAATGGTCCTAATATTTTAGGATTCGTGGCCTTTAATGGAAGTTTTATTGTGGCATTGAAGTTTAGATCTCGTGATTCATCCATGTCCCAAAACTCTGAACGGTAACTTTATCATATAGTAGCTTACTGAAATAATTCTGTAAGGAACCGCATCGCAGTTCTGATTCTCGTATTCTTGAACACAATCTCTTTCGAGATTTACCTGAATCTCTATTCGAAGTCAATGATATGTTGAACACCCCTCACTGACTAGGCAATAAATCAGAAATTTTTATTGGCTCTGCATTTTGACGAGTTCTCACTACTCGAGACGTAGGGGAAGGGGAGACACAAGTCTAAGCCAGTATTCCCCGTCATAAGTGGAACCCGGAGCACCTGATGCCCTTATGATGACTCTATAGCAAGCGCTTCCAACACCACCTTGTAGGTACTGAGCAAGGATTTGCTAACTGTCAAATAGGACTATTCCCAATGGCATGAAACTGCAACAAAGATGTTGAAAAGTATTAAAACAAGCAGATTCAGAATAGAGGTTTCATTCAGAAACTCTGTCTGGACAAGGCTGCAGGCCGCTTTGAAGCGAAGGGCCTTTGCTGATTTGTAGAACTCGATAATAAAATTTGTACAGTAACGGACAGAGGAAAAATGAGCCTTGTGGTGTGGAAAAAGTTCATTTTTAATGGGTATCCACGTTGCGCATAAGCGGGTTAAACAAATCGCACCAGGCAAACAAACAGGCTCTTCTACATGATGCGTCACTCAGCACAAATCATGAAATCGCACCTACCATTAGTCATCTGTTACTCTTTCTGCAATGTATTTTTACTTAGACATTAAGAAAAAACCAAAAAGTTTCTTGCTGGGTCGAGGGCAGTGAGAAATAGCGCATCCCTTCCCATACATGGTCCTAAGATTGTGATGCGGATGAATATTCGCCAGGATCAAGCAATCTTTCATCCCTCCCCGGCCAGTCAGCATTTCTCTGCTCTGGTGTCGAACAACGACTCCAGAGAGGTGCAAGACCCAGTTCGCCTAGACGAGCGCCGATCCAGGGCTCGAACGGACCTCGAATGGAAAGCGCGCTATTTGGCTTTACACTCTCCTTCCTTCGTGATTACATTACGATATGCCATTATCACCCATTATCATATCTTCTTATGCCATTAGAGATTCAGGAAAATTGAAGTGTGAGAATTTTTTCTCTGAAAAGCATTTACAAAAGATCCATCCAGAATCCAGTTGCATCCAGAATCCAAACCTATGACTATGCAGACGTGGTCCGGGATTCTCATCCGCTGGCTACAGCCACACAGTAGCGGCGCAGCCCTCCCTCCGATCAAATAGGAATTCACGGAGGCTGTGGATTGCCATGGCAAACCCGGCCTGCCGAGGTACCTGGCGTCCGATGGCCGGCGGGCCGCATGCTGCTCCTATCACTAAAAATCATTCAGAGAGAGGGGTAGACAAATGTTTGATGGTGTTCGGAGGAGGGGAGGTCTGTATAGCGATAAGTGGCAGGGAATAATGAACGTATTGTTCATTCAGGAATAGCTACAACACCACCAAAACATAATTTTTGCTCTCGCTTCTACTGTGCAGATCCATCTGTAGATCCATGACAGTATTTTGACAAATTTTCGTCAAACGGTCCAGAGTAGCTTCAACAAAGCTTTGTCGGATGCCCAGCAGCTTCACCTGTTTCACTTTTGATCGGACACCTTTGTAATGTATGAAATGTAAAAATAAATAAGTAAATAAATAAAGCATTGCATCCCAGGATGGCTGCGGTAGAAAATACATATGCTCAACATGGCGTAGAAGGGCATGGCGCATACTAAGAATCAAACCCATTCATATTGGAATGGTCAGAAGGATTGTCAGCAGCTTTCGAGCTGCTTTGAGCTGCTGTATCAGAAGGATTGTTGAACTGTGGAAGTGATGGAATTGAAGCTCACCCCACGAAAGAACCTACCTCTATCCATAGGCGAACGTCCGTTGCGCGCGTCCGTCGAAAGTTTGTCACCCCGCCCATTTCGCGCGCGGCGCACCCCACTGAGGTCTCGTGATGACATTTCAGTATCATCAAGTGTGAGTGGAGCAAACGATTTGCATTTGTCCATTTTATCTTCCCATAGGCTGACTGCCGTGGACCAAGCGCAGACCGTATGCCCCACTGATAACTGCGACGTCTGTCAAGTATCGCGCGCTGACCCGCCGCATGCGACGGCTGCGGCATGACCTAGTTTCTACGGAAGCGCGCGCAACGAAGCGCACCCCTATCCATACTCGGCTCCATGCTCCTTCTTCCCTTTTACAAATGCCCTTACTGCTTGCGCGTGGCAGATGCATTGAGAAAACTCACACTTATTTCACTTTCCCTGACTCTCTACTTCCTTTATGATCTCATGAGCTGGCGCTATTCGCCTTCCACCGCCACCTAATCTTCATTTCTGGGCTATCCCTCATCGAGGGACTGTCAGCCATTGATTCCGTTTCTGGCGAAGTTCTAGACTCAAGACAGATACATCTATAAGAACAGATAAGTCAATTTATTCGATTTTATTACTGAGCAAGCATCCTTTCAGTCGTTCATACTGTAACAGCCGCAAAGGAGTAAACGATTTATTTATTTACATATTTATACATTTCATTCAACACCCATCTTTTTGAGCATCACCATTATCGATCCTACGTTCGGTGCGATGAATAGAACCTGAAAAAAAGATTTTTTTGTCCTTAACTCTTATTCCTTTGCCTCAAGAGGAATCAAATTGAAGGGGCTCGAAACCTTATGTGAAAAGTACTGATCCATTGCATAAGCTCGTAGAAAATACATTTCTGTTGAACTGTGTAACGCTCGGTCCACCATCGATTGGCATATTTTCCATACCTGCGAACGGATATTATTCACTTTTTGCTGAGCTCACTTAAGTGATTTCAATGCAGGTTTAGTAGTAATTACATAAACCACTCAAGTTTGAGTGGATGCTTCATTCTACGAACTCGAAGTAGGCCAAAGTATACTCTCCCCTCCATGATGCCCTCTCATTGAAACCGTACCGTATCGCCTTGTCACTCTTTTTTTCAATATATACCATTTATGCATCAGAAAACCAGTCAAAATTAAGCGAGAGCTTACAATATACAGGAGAAGTTTTTTCAAAAAAAAAAAAACGAGCTTTCTTGCCCCGGGTTTATGATGGAGCAGTAGTAAAGGTCTTTTGACTTTTGTCTTGAGACCATGAAGTCTTCTGCTTGAATTGGTATTCGCCCTAACTCAAAGCGCTCCCCACAAGCTTAATTTCCCGTGATAGATCGATAGGGTAAAGCTCACACAGTTTCAGAAGAAGCGTGCTTCTTGAAAAGAAGGTGCTTTATGGAAAAAAAGACCACCCATATTAGATGAACGCCTGATCACATGCCCTCAACCTGCTTTGGAAATGAGTAATGGTGCAAGTTACTCGATGAAAGATACGCTGCTCCGATGCCAAAAACACGTCATATGAATGCATCAAGGGGGCGGGGCCATCTGGCACCGCTTAAGCTTGTAAAGTGCGGTCCCCGCCAAATGATTATAAGCACGGAAATGATGACGATAGCAAAGGTTTTCATTTTCTCTACTCATTGAACACAGCCCCCTCGAATAATTCTTTGTCACACTCCTTACCTCGTTGTCCTTCGATATTTGTGAAAAATCGGCAGCCAGTAATAATTGGGCAGTGTTTTTGATCTGAATAATCGAACTTTTATTATTAAAATGTAGACTTTTCACTGAATGAATCGCAAGCTAAGGACGGAAGATTGAAAAAATGAGCGAGCCTCTTTAAAGAGCATCCCTTAATGAAAAATTTGCTTAATCTGTGGGTACATAAAAAATAAGTACACCTCTTCAAATTTCAAAAAAACTGTAAATGCTCAACAATTTTATCGTCAACACTTAACTTAACACCGATAGTCTTTACTAGTCATATCGAGACCCCACGTTCTCTCACAATTTTGTGAAAAACTGTCCTGACACGAAAAAGTGAAGTCATGACGGAGGAGACAAACTTTAGGGCTTAACATGGGGTTATCTTCGCTTTATAAAATTCTAAAACATAGAGTCAATAATACTGAATTTAAAGAACTCTACCACCCTTACATTGGCAGTATTGACACTATTTCGGAGAACGTCCGTTGCGCGAGCCCGTTGAAAGTAGGTCACCCCGCTCAATTCGCGCGCGGCGTGCCCCACTGAGGTTTCGAGATGACATTACAGTACCAGCAAGTGTCATCGGAGCAAACGATTTGCATTTGTTCATGTTATCTTCTATTTGGCTGACTGCCGTGAACCAAGTGCAAATCGTATGCCCCACTGACACTGCGACTGCCGTCAAGTATCGCGGGCTAACCTGCCGCATGCGACGACTGCGGCGTGACCTAGTTTCGACGGACGCGCGCAACAAAGCGCACCCCACTATTTCACTTCGAATAACAGCATTCCAAAAGCTGAAAGTGCACTTTTCGAAGAACTATCTTCGTCATAACGTCTGCAGCCCCGTACTGAAAAGGACAGGAGAACTTACGAGTCTTTGTTAAGTACCACGACTATACATCCACAACCATGTCAAAAAAACCTCCCAAGAGTTGGAGATCCCCTTTGATCTCTCTCCAGCAGATAACAATCTCCGTCCGCAACCGCTTTACGTTTACCTCTGCCATTAACCTTTCTGTAATTATTCTTGTATACCTACTTACCTCGATCTGTATTTGAGATGGTTGTTTGTGTGTGATTATAACTACTATCATGCCACAATTCAGCCATAAGAAAGTAAAAATATTCATGACAAGCGTCATGTCTTTAGAGAATCTGAAAAAGAGTATTTGAACTGTAGAAAGGCTGCCATATTCCTACATTATACTATTCCGAGTGGCTTTCTGGATTCCTGAGCACCGTAATACACTTTCTGTGTTGGCCAATTCTCGCATTCTGCTTCCATTCAGAATCGCCAAGCGTTTTTGAGCGCGTATGTGGCTATACAATAACTTGCGGTAGGCATTGAATGTAAATGATAAAGCTGTTATTCCCTAGACCAGACTACTACAAACTATCCGATTGCGGAATTTGGGTCCGGGAACTTCTCCCTTGTCACGGCGTCGCACACGCCGCACCCGCCGCGTATCGCAGGATTGCGATGGAAGATTGGAGCGCGCAATTTGTGAGGTAGAAAGTCCTTTAATTATTTGAATTGGCTGGCCGCTTTCTTCAGTTTCAATGCAGTCTTGATCGCCGCTTACATAAGAGGAGTCATTTTAATTAATCAAGTCTAATAAACATGAAAACGAAAAAGAAACAGAAGAAAAAACGATTAAATCCAATAAAAAAGCAATGCAATCAACGAAAAATATCGCGTCCTATCGATTGGCGGGGAAGCGGGTGAGTACGGTAGTTGCAGTGACATTTGCCGCATGCCGCAAGGGAGAATGCCGCGATAGGGGAGAAGTTCCGTTACCCGTGGCCTATACAGTGACTTGCGGTGGCCAGCCGATGTACAAGTCAGCGCTTTTTATCCTCCCAGACGAGTCTGGTACCAGTTGACCGACCCCGGAGGGATGGAAGGCTTGCCCTGACCGTGCGTGTGATATAGTGCGCCACTTGCCACTACTCCACCTCCGCCCTACTAGCTACATATAAAAGGAAAATTTAGTTCAATCCTAGCATGCCATCTATTTATATGGTTTAATGGTTCTAACTCAATGAATTCTTTTTTACTTTTTTTGTTGAAAACACTAAAAAAGCAACTCACGCAGCCAATTGATATAAGCCTACTGCGAACGTAAGAGCACCAAATGCTGTCGATAATGAGGCGAAGAGTTCTTGAAAATGTCACAGGTTAGAAAATTCACAATATTTATAGAAGGATAAGGTTCGTACCAGTTTTTGCGCTAACAAATTTCACCAGGCGTAAGAGCTCCACCTGACGCTTACTGAGTTTTTGTAATAATCCTTGAGCCTGAAAGTGTGACTTGAAAATGGTAATGTTGATAGTTTGTTTACTTGTTCATTTATTTAATGATCAACGATACGAGGTAGTATAGCAAAGTGCAATCTTGTATCTGTAACCGAATATTTCAAATTTTCGGGGATAGGAATGACCTCTGAGATGAAGGATAAAGACTTTCGGCGTTGATCAATACGGTCCAAGGGATACGCCCCAGCATTCGATCTCCAATCAGGATCGTAGTGGCTGTTTGAATGCGTATGTGGCCTATACAATGACTTGCGGTGGCCAGCCGATGTAGAAGTCAGTGCTTTTATCCTCCCAGACGAGTCTGATACCAATTGAACTACTGCGGGAATAGAAGGCTTGGTTCACCTAGGCGGATATCGAGCCGGGATTCGAACCCGTGACCATGCTTTCATACAAGCACGGATTCATTTGATAAGCTTTCTAAGAACGCGGTACCATGAGTACGGTACTTCAATCAGCCACGCCCACCTTGGTTACTGTATTGATTTCTCCCAAGGATGGCGAGTTGTTGGCAAAACTTTGGCCTTGGATGGGACGGTTTGATTGATCGTTTATTGATTTTACTGCCTTTCTCTCTATAGCATCATTACAAATATCCCTGCTGGATTTTCTTCCAAACTACTTCCGCCTAGAGTTCGTTAACCCATTGACGACCATGCAGTCCACATGTGGACTGCAGTTGTATTTTTTGTTTTATTCATCTATATTTCAACTTTTTTGCAGTTTTTCTATTCGAAACATTACATCAGGTCTAAATGAAACTACATAAAGCGTGATCCTGGAAAATCTTCTATTTTTGCAAATGTAAAGGTGTTTTTTCGAAGGAGCACATTACCATGGTG